AGGTTAAGTGTGTTGATGATGAAAAATTTCGTCACAAGAACAAGAGCAAAAAAAGCTGTGTGTGGATTTCTAGTAAGAAAAAGAGGGTCAAGAAATTTTGCAAGAAGAAGAAAATTAAGAGGGCTTGCCCCCTAACTTGTAGCATGTGCAAACCCCAGGACAACGACAAGCCCAACGACAAGCCCATCGAAAAAATCAATGCCAAGCCATATGAAAAGCCTACTATCAAACCAAACGACAAGCCGTATGAGAAGCCAGGTGAGAAGCCGAATGACAAGCCAGTCGACAAGCCAGATAAGCCGAACGACAAGCCGAATGACAAGCCAGTCGATAAGCCAGATAAGCTAAACGACAAGCCGATTGATAAGCCAGTCGACAAGCCAGATAAGCCGAACGACAAGCCGAATGAGAAGCCAGTCGATAAGCCAGATAAGCCGAACGAAAAGCCAGTTGACAAACCAGATAAACCAAACGACAAGCCAGTTGACAAACCAGATAAACCAAACGACAAACCAGATGAAGAAGAGTGTGCTGATGATAAAACATTTATATTCAAAAACAAGAAGAGTGTTTGTGCTTGGGTTCGCAAGAGAAGCTCCAAAAGATTCTGCAAGTACAAGAAGATCCAAATGAGATGCCCTGCGACTTGCAATCTTTGTGGCAATACTTTGGGCCTTTAAAGATCGCGGTGGCCCTCTTTTTGTTCTGTTTCTTGTGCCGTCGGAATGGTTGATACATTCTTCCTAGAAAGAAGTCGGATAGCGCGAGTGTCGGCCGATAGTGACGCATGGGAGAGAGAGAGAGAGACATACTTTTACATACATATTGGAAAAAGAGATTGATATACAATTGGATCGCAAGGTTTGCCCGTGGTTGTGGGAGACGAGAAGATAATTCGGGAAGCCTTGGACGAAATAGGTCTTGTTTTTCCAGAAAAGATTTAAAAATAGTACATTATAGGATCGGTCTGATGAAGATATAATCAATAGCAAATCGATTTGCTCGTGTTAAAATGAAGTAGATAATGCGATATAGAACCCCGTTTCCTACAGTAATAGCATTTTGTCTGTTTCATCGGAGTCAATCAAGTACTTTACGTTAAGGGCATGGCAAATGAATGCGATTGTCTTTTTCTTTGGGTGGCTAGCACAAGTTTCCCGGCCGGACTGCCGAATGCGGATGTCAGTTTCTGAACTCGTCCAACAGGTATTGGCCAAAAAATGATCGAGTCTTTGATCCTATGACCGCGGTGCGCCATCTCGGTCCGAAACGGATTGGCGGTCCGCGTGGATTCTTTCTATCGGACGAAGAGACTCGCAGTGGGCATGCGAACCGTGGATCGGACCGCAGCAGGCAAGCAGGCAACCGCCGCTTCGATTTGTGGGGTTCCCGGCGAAGCATTCGCGAGCGGGCTCCGGATGCGTCAATGGAACGAATTGCAGGCCTTCCAATCTACTGTTTGCAGCGCAACGAAGTGGCATTCGTGAACCGCGGCCGGCCCCGGCGTTCGGCCACCGGAGGCCGGCAGCAGCATTCGATTTTGTTTCCGTTGGAGCGGGAATCCGGCTCGCGAACGCGAAACCCGGTGGTGCCCCGGGTCCAGCGGGACCGTGTTGGTGCGATGCGTGGTGTGTGTTTGTGTGTTTCGCTTCGCTTCGCTTCGCTTCGCTTCGCTTCCATTCCGGGCTTTTTTCACGCCCGGAGAAAGCGTCTCGGGCCGTGGTGTTGCCTTCATTTTCGGGTTACCTCTCGCGGTCGCCCGCTTGTTGTTTTTGCTGCTGCTAATGCTGCGGCGGCGGCAGTGGCTCGACGCGCACGTGTTCCCTCACGTACGACGACCGCTGCTCCCGGCTCCGGATCCCGCGGTGCAGGGCCGGGACGTGCTCGGTCATCGTTTCCGCCAGCTCCCGGGCCTTGTCAAAGTTCCCCAGCGCCGCGTGCTCCTTCGCGACGCGGTAGATCGTGATGTTGTTGATCGATCCGGGGGACCCCTTGTCGGCGCTTTCCAGGCCGTCCTCCACGATGGAGGTAGCGGTCTCGATCTCGCCCGAGAGGCACAGGAGCTCGACGTAGTTGCGGATCACGTGCGTCGTCGGTGGGACCCCGTTTTCCTCCATCATGGAGAGGATCGTGTCCGCGATCTGAAGGTTCCGCTGCTTGTAGGAAGCGTCCTCCAGCTTGAGGCGCTTCTTGATGTCCCGGCCGAGGGCCTCGATGACAAAGGAATACGAGTCCGCGTCGGGCTCTATGCCGTGGTCGCCCATCACCCCCAGGATTTCCACGGCGTCCTCCGGGTCGGCCCGCTCGGCGTAGCTCGAGAGGACGACGTTGAGGGATTCGAGCGACAGCATGCGCTGGTGGTCGATGGACGCCATTTCGTTGTGCTTGTCCTCCGTGAGCATCCGGCGGGCCCTCCCGATGAGGGACCGGTTGAGGCGGATCGCCGACGAGAAGCTCCGGATCAGCGGCCTCGACGGCCGGAAGCCGTCTTCCTTCATGGAGGCCAGTGCGGCAAAGGCCTGCTCGAGCCCGTTTCCAACGCTGTCGTTGGCAAAGGCCATGACCGTGTTTTCGTACAGGAGTTCCGTGGGGGCGTGCCCGCAGGCCTCCAGGACCTCCCACACCAGCAGGATCTGGCGGGTGCTCCCCGACTGCGCGGCACCGGTGGATATGGCTTCCAGCATGGACCGATCGATGCGGTGCTCCCGGTCGTGGTGGTGGTGGTGGTGTCTTCCGCCGCCGCGAGACCGGGCCTCCTCCTTGTTCCCGGCGTCGTCCAGCCAGGACTCGAGGGCCACGCAGATCGGTTCTTCCTCGGTGTACGGGAACATGTTCTGGATCGCCGGCAGGACCGCGTCGGCGTTGAGCTGCCCGCCGGGGGTGTCCACCAGCCGGCGGATGACGTCGTGGTACGGGACGTCCCCCTGGCGGTGGAACCGGGAGGTGGAGAGCAGCCGGTTGAGCCAGCCCGCCTTGGTCTCGAAGCCCTCCCGAACGATGGTTTCGTACAGACCAAAGGCGTGCCTCCCGACCGTCGCGATGCGCTGTGTGAGCAGCGAGAGGACGAGCTTGGGGTAGAGGACCTCTTTCGAGGAGGTCTCCATGGCCTCCATCTCGCCGAGGAGGTTTTCCACCATGGTTTGCATCTGGCCGGCGTTGTGGCGGTGGGGTTCCAGGAGGCCGATGGAGTTGCAGATCCGCTTGTACAGGGAGAGGCGTTTGTTGGTCTTCCCGTCGAGCCCGGCGCCGCGGCCGCCGCCGTCCGTTCGAGCGGCGTCCTGGTGCAGGTAGTGTTGGTTGTAGTATTGGATGACCGTGTATCCGGAGGCCGGGTCCGATTCAGACACCATGAAAAACAGGTCCGTCACCGTCTTTCTCGGAAGGATCCACCGGTTCCTCTGGGACTCCCGGAAGAGGGACATGCCCTTCCGCGGGTCCCTGCGGTGGATGGCACGGCCCAGGTCCGATTTCAGGCGGTCGAGGTCGGTCGGTGGTTTGTCTTGGTCTTTTGCGAGTGCGTGTGCGTGTGCGGGCTCGGAAGGGGAAGACCGGCCGGTGGTGTGTGCCTCCTCGGCGGCGGTGGGTGGGCCAAAGGCCTCCCCAATGCGTCCGCCCTCTTCGCCTCGGTCGGATCCGGCCTCCGGCACCGCGCTTCTAGCGAGAATGCTCCTGCCCACGACGCCGACGCGGCGGCGGTTCGCGGGGGTTCCCCAAACCCCGGGAACTTCCGCCGGAACTTCGGCCGGTTTCGGTGTCGTCCTCGTGTTTGTGTTCGTGTTTGTTTTCGCGTTGGTCGCCCCCGGTCCCGAAAGGGTCGAGTGTGCGGTGGCGAGCTGGAGCGACTCGAGAAAGAGGCGCATGGCCACCAGCCGCCGGCCTTCCTCGAGGCCGGCGTCGCCCGAGGGGTTCGTGTTCGTGTTCGTGTTCGCGTTCCGCCCGTGGTGGGAGGGGAGGCAGCCGGGAAAGACGGAAAGCGGGGACAACGAAACCCTGCTCGAAACGACCAGCTGGTGCTGCCCCCGGCGCCGGTGGTTGGAGGAATCGAATCGGTGGTGGCTTGTGGTTGTGGTTGTGGCATTGCAAGCGTTGGTCCCGGTGCATCCCTTGCTTCTTCCGGGCACCGCCGCCGACGGCGATTCGATCGGCCGCGACAGGGGGGATCGCAGGCTGCTCTTTGCACGAGAAAGGTCCCCTTGCCGCATCCGTTTCGCCGGGCGGGTTTGCCTTTGGGCACGCAGCGACGCCCCGATGGACAACAGGGAGGATCGCATCCTGTTCGCTTGGGATGGGATGGGCCGGGTTTTTGTTGGCTACCTTCCGCTTGTTTTGTTTGTCTTGTTGTCTCGCTCTCCTCCCCTGGCAGAAGCCGGGTGCTAACTCCGGTACGGATATGGAACGGTCGCGGTCCCAACAATCCCGTGGTTGTCGGTTTGGTGTCCTGTGGTGTGGTGTGTTTTGGTTTGGTTTGGTTTGGTTTGCTTTACACGGCACGGGAGGGCAAGGGTGCCGAACCAAACGGAAAATTATGCACAACCACGAAAGATGATGGCAACAATCCGGCTGCTGGCAGATGTGGTTTTCGGAGGAGTCACACGAGTGGTGGCGTGTCGCGAAGGGGGAAAAAAAAATGGCAGGCACGAGATGGAACGGAACCCATCCGTGCGAAGACAAGACAAACATAACCACGGCGATCGAAAATCCGCTGGGCGCGGAAAAAATGCGTGGTGACGGACTGGCCCCGGAAGCGATGAGTCCCTAGTTGTCAGGGAATCAAAACCAAAAGTGAAACGGGAGTCCCGCGGTAGGTGAAACTGCCGTTCATACGAGTGTCGCACCGTAGATGCAACGGTGGCCAACCCCTCGACGACGGAACCTCGTTTTTCTTCGAAAGTCTGTCTCCGCCGGATCGTGGCACGAGTACCAAGTTGTGCGTACGAGTACTCGTACACATGTGCAATAACCGCGAGTGCTTTTTAGGTGTTTCTTGCTATCTCTCAACAAAAAAGACGAGCTTTGTGGAAAGCCCCGGGATAGCATTACACATTCTTCAGCGATTGAGCACTAGAACGACGCACACCACTCTCGCTTGGACAAGACTTCTCAACGATCCGCACGAAGAACAGCACGGCTATACAGCACCGACGCCAACGACGCAAAGGACTCCAACAACCAACCAAGCAGACAGACAGGCAGGCAGGCAGTCGATTCCCCGGAGCCGGGTCCGGTTCGTTCCCAGACACACCAACAAAAGCACGGCACCACCGAGAGCACCCAGCCGAACGGAGCATGCTGCGACCCAAAGCATTGTCGAGGGCGGCAACGACGCTTGCCGCAAGGGCTCCGCGTCTTTGGTCGGTGGCCGCGATCCCGGGCCGACAAGGAACCCGCCCGCTCGCCGCATCTGCCCATGTGGACGCGGGAGGCCGCTCCCGTTCCCGCGGCCCGGTTCGGTGGCACGGCACGGCCGGAAATCCGCACCGGCCACGGACCGAAGCGTGCACCCTGAGCGGATCCCCCCTTGCCCCTCGCCCAAGGCATCCGCACCTTCCCTTCCAGCGGCGCCGGTTTGGCGGGGAGGGAGGCGGGACCTCTGTCGCAACCACCGCGGACGAAATGGAAACCACCACCCCCGAAAAGGGCCTCCCCGGGGCCCAAACAGGCGGCAAAAAGCTGGCGATCGTCTTTACCTGCACCGTCTGCGACACCCGGTCCGCCAAGCAGTTCACGGAGAACGCCTACAAGAACGGCGTCGTCATCGTCACCTGCCCGGGCTGCGGGAACCGCCACCTCATCGCCGACAACCTGGGCTTCTTCGAGGACCAGGAGGAGGGCGGCTGGAACATCGAAACCGCCCTGGCAAGGGCGGGGGGAACCGCCAGGCTGGTCACCAACGACAACGTCACGGAGGTCAGCCTCGAGGACCTGTACGGGGAGGACAGGATCCGGGCCGCCACCGAGGCCGCTTCCGGGAAGCAAACGCCGTAGCGGGGGCGGGCGCTGCGGGGCAAAGCACGGCACACCAGAGTCAGAAACAACACAAAAACAAAACAAAACAAAACAAAACAAAACAACGCAACGCAACGCAACGCAACACAAGCCCCACCACAAAACCGGGCGGTGCGGACCGGACGCGGAAGCGACTCGAACGGCTGTGGTGGCACGCAAACGAAACCCGGCAGGAATGCCGTGCCGGCCGGTGGCGACACAGCTTGGTGGCCACGGCCACGAGAGAGAGAACAACGGGCACGGCCGGCGACGCAGCCAAACAAAATTCACAATCGATACACCGTACAGCAGCAACACAGATGCCGAACAAAAGGATAGAAAGACACACACACACACACACACACACCGGCCACGACACAATCTTTGTTTCCTTCTAGTTGTGGGTTTGCACGTGTTTTATTAGTTTGTTTCGTATCGTTTCGCTTCGCTTCGTTTTTCGCTTTTTTGAGTCTTGCTACAACTCAAAGGCGGGGATTTCCTTGCCCTCCACGGCCACCTGCGAGGCGATCGACGGATCGACGGCGGTCAGGACCCTCCGCTCGGTCCTCGGCGAGTCCATCGCCCTCACCACCAGGTCCGCCACGTCCTCGCGGTGGATGCTCCCGATCGCGGTGGTGTCCTCCGTCAGGACGGCCTCCCCCGTCGCCGGCTCGCTCACCAGGCCGCCGGGACGGATGATGCTCCAGTTCGAGTTGGTGTACCACTCGATCAGGACGTTCTCGGCCTTTTCCTTGGCCGAGAGGACGTCCCTGAGGATCTCAAAGACGTGGGGGGGGGCCGCGGCCTTGCTCGAGCCGCTGTGCCGTGAACGGGCATGGCATGGCATTGTATTGGATTGTATTGCATTGGATTGTATTGCATTGCGAGCGGACCAACGGGGCCGGATCCATCGATTCGACAAACCACAAAAGGAAAAAAAAAATGTTGTGAGAAAAAAAAACAGCAAAGGAATGGTTCCAGACTCGCGATAGCCCGCGTTTGGCCATCGCCACACAGCACCGCACCACACCACAACGCCCCGCTGCGCTGCCCAAAACAAAAGCACAACCCGGTTCGCACGCATTCGTGCTGCAGTCACTTGCCATCCGACGCTCGTCACCAGCAGGATTCTCTGCACCCCCAGGATCCCCGCCGACTCGATCACGTTGTTGTTGCCCTCGTAGTCGACCCGCCGGTCGTCCGTGGTCCCGCCCAGCGTCGTGATCGCCGCGTCGCAGCCGTCCATGGCGTTCTCGACGTCCTTCTGCACGAGGGCGTCCCCCAGGACCGCTTTGACGCCCGGCAGGGACGAGAGTTCCTTGGCGCTCTCCTCCCTCCGGACCAGGGCCACCACCTCCGTCCCCCTTTCCGAGAGCTTCTCGACCACCGCGTGGCCGACGCCCCTCGAGCCGCCGGCCACAAAGACCTTTTGGTACGCCGAGAGGCTGCTGCTGCTGCTTCCGGGACGCGGCCGGTTCGCAACCGCGGCGAATCCATGGATCGGCCGCGTGTGGGAAAGGACGGAGACGAACCACAGGGAGCAAAGCAGCTCGAAACACAGCTTCCGTCTGCTCTTCGACTGTCCCGACATTGTTTTTGGGTTGGTTTCCGGTTGCCAGTATCTCCGGTAGAGCTGTTTTTGTTTTGTTGTGATTGTGATTCACAATGCGCACTGTATGCCGCCAAAGGTGTCGGTTTGTGCCTTGGCTGGTTGGTTTGGTGCCGCAACAACCACGCGCAAAGAGGTACGGTACGGTACTTTGTGTCAACTTTCGCGGTGAGAAGGCGAGGCAGAGACAACATCGTGACCGTCGGTGATGACATACCGGTACAAGTACTACCACCAAAGAACAAAGGAGTGTCAATCCGAGACGAACAAACAAACAAACAAACAGAAAGATACACGACGCGGCAGCATGGTACCGGTACGTACGCGTACGTACGCACGGTACGTACATCACCCACGGCGAGGCAGTAGGTATCACCATCACCAACGCAACCCCGTCCAATCAGTGGGCACGAGAACCAGCATGGACTACGTACGGTATGCCCCCCAAACCCAAACTTTTTGGGACTCGAAAAATAAGGATGAGCTCCTGCCCAGCATCCCCCCCCCCAAGAAAAAAAGGGATAGGCAAGGTAGGTCTGTCCCTCTTCCGAATGCGACCAAAATCATCGCAAAAGAGACACAAAGAGGCGATCGGATCGATACACAGTCAAATGCGACAAAAGCAAAAGCACAAGAAGCAACAACAATACATCGACGTCCGCTCTCTCGTCTTTATCACTCCAAAAGAACATTCGTTGTTATTCCAACCCAAATCACGTCCTCACGCCAACATTTTATTCCATCATGCCTCCAAAACGAGTAAAGAAGGTAATGACATTGCCCATCAATGTTATTTTTGGGCACTTGCAGGTAAGACGAACGTTCACCGATGATGCGGTGTGGAAGTTTTGCATCGTGTTTGCCGTGAACTTGGATCTTTCATCCTGAAATGTGCTCACCCATTTGATGTTTCTCGCCTTTCGCGTTTCCAATATATCCTTCGATGGATTCATGCATTTGCCGTACGTACGTGACACATTTTCCGATTCGTACCAAAAAGAAAAAAACAAGAGTTCGAATTTGGTTGTACGAAGATACGAAGACGCAAATAGAGGGGCAAATCATTGGATTCGACGAATACATGAACATGACCCTGGACGACGCGGTAGAAATCGGAAAAACACGAATCGAGGTCGGAAGAATCTTGTTGAAAGGGGACGCCATTACGGCGATACAGGAAGCAAATCCAGTAAAGAAGGAGTGATGGGACAAAGAGCAAACACACCGAGAAAGTTGAAATTTCCGTGAAACACCTGGAATTATTTTGGTTGTTGTTTTTTCGGACCGTTCGATTGCGCTGGATTCTGTGCCGTGGGCTCAATTCCCGCTTTGTTGAAGATTTGGCAGGACAGCTCTCGGTTGAGAAAATCTGTTTCTTGCCAAAACACAAAGAAACATTCAACAATCAGTTCTTCCGATAAAACTTATGAATGTGCTGCATCAGTGGGCAGACGCTAGCACGAGACGATGCATATAATACTAACACTGAAATGAAAATGAAAATGAACACTACAAGTAATGCGTTACCGATTCCATTTATTTTTGACTTTCGGTTGCACAAAAGGGCACGCAAATGCATAGCTTATGTGCAGAAGCCATGATGAGTTTGAGTCGATTCCGATCGCATCCAAGCGGTAGATGAATGCAGTCGGGAAATCGTGTTCTTTGTATGGGTAGCTAGGACACCGCATCTTGTTTTCTTTTTTCAACTAGTCCATTTTGAGGTCATCTGGGTTCACTCCCATAGATCGCATCACGTTTTGCCCTAGCGGACTGTCCATGACCGTTGTAATTCCTCCATCGGCACCCGAGGGAGGCTTCGTTCCGAACAAGAGGTTGATGTAATACTTTACCGCAAGACCGGTCAGGACATAGACGAAGAAAAACGAGAAGGCTTGTTTGGGATGCATGCTGGTGGCGTCGGCCAGTGCTTCCGTCGCCAGTAGTTCTCTCCAATCCAATCCCCGGCACGTCATTCGGCTCACGAAATCATAAGGCACAAATGGCAGTACTCCCATTACCTTTGGAGTAGTACCGATGAAGAATAGGACAATTCGATGTGAGTGGGTTTCAAAATTGCAAATCACCAACTAGAAAACAATCTCTTCCTCTTGTCACCGTATGTGGCTTCTTATTCATAACAAAACTGACCTTTCCCTTGTGTTCCGTTCCCAGAATTCTCAGCAAAATAATGAAAAAAATCGACGAGAGCATGTTGGGGGCAAAATGGCGTCTTGCTACGTCGGCACAGGCCGTCGAGTAATCGGCCTTGGCTCGATCGTACTTCTTGCGGTGCTTTTCCGATTTCTTTAGATCGGCGTCGGCCTTGTCGAGTTTCGTTTTGAAGCGGTCCATCGTTCGCAGAGATCGTTGGTACGGATCGTTTTGGTATACTAAATAATTCGACAAGAGCTCGATGATCAGTTGGCAGACCCCGACCGTAACAACAATGCTTGAAATTTCGGATGCCGTCATTGTTGAAATTGAAAATAGTGCGTCAATTTGTTCGTGGTGTGAAAGGCTTTGGCGACTGTTGGGAATAATACGAGAAGCTATCGACAAGATTCTGAATGTGTCCTTGACGGTACGGTTCAACAACAACCCGCAGTTGTTATTTTACTGTATTGTTGTCACGAGATGGTTCGTTTGGTCCTAATTTTTTGTTTACTGTGCCGTACAGTAGATCGATAGAGCAACACAACCCTCTTGTGACAGATCTCAGGATCCGATTGGAAACTTTTGGTCCCCTTTTTGCCGATTTTCGATTTCCTGAACAAAAAGTTGTCGTTCAGTTTTCGGGAATGACCCATAAACCATACCGGTAAGTAAAGAAGCTATTAGCTATCCTACTGTAGATACAGCATCATCATTTTTCACTTTGAGGGAAAACCGAATCAAGTCGTGACCCCCATTTCAAAACAGGCGCAAAAAAAGTACCTTAACTACAGTACTTGGGTACGTACGTACATCATAACCTTTAAAATTTTCTCACGTGCTTCTGAGAAAAATTTAAAATGGTGACCGAAATCAATCAACGAAAACGTTACAGTGATAACACAACCCACTTTGCAGCAAAGACAGTGGTGCAGCTCTAATTGTTTAATCCAGACCATAAAAGGCAATGAGCTGGTGATGATTGTACACATAACGAATACAGTGGCAGAAATAGATGAGGACTGATCTCGGTGACGGCGTCAAAAATCGTTCACATCATGGAAACGAGCGATGGGGATGACGGTTGCAAAATTGGAAGCTGTCGATTGAGCGAAATTGAAACGAAACCAATAACCAAAGCACCTTCGACTGTCTTTCCCGCAGTGGTAGCTTGTGGATATCGACGGGTCGGAATCGCAAAATCTGGGAATTATTTTCCTGCGTTTTTGGTCGCTTTCCCGAATCACAGAGACAGCAGCAACCCGGAAACAGTGCAGAGGAAGAGTGCAATCTGTTTTGCGTGGAGATCAAAACGAGATTTTATGCTACTTGCACGGTCTTCTGACTCTCTAGTCCTTCCTAAAGCAGCTTTGAAAAAAGTTGTTGATAGCAACAGTGTTCCATGGAGACGATTTGACATGAACCTTGTTGGAAACAACAACACCCCATACTTTCTAAGCGATCCCAAACTACCAAATCACTTTTCGGTACGAATGAAAAAATCTCTGTGGCTCCTTGATCATTTTTTACATCGGGCAGAAACATCTGCAACGGAAACGGCGAAGGCTGCCTGGGAAACATTTTGCCGCCCATCCGATACCGAAGATTTGATCACTCCAAGAGAATTTACTCCGGGAGCTGATTCGACTACCAACCAAAGGGATGGAAACATTGCAAAACCAAAGGGCGAGGACACACAGGCACATTCGACCGAAACAAAAATCAACGATCCGAATACTTCGTTTAGCAGCAGTCACAACGAAAACGTAACGACACTAGCAGATTCATCCCGTTTAGGACAGTACTTTGCTTCCGAAGAAAATTCTCGAATGGTGGTGGAGTGTGCCTTAGAAAAGATTCTTCCTCTGTTCCACGATGGCAAGAATAGTGACATCCTATTCCTTGAACCTAGTTGCGGACATGGTGATATCGTTGCCTCTTTGGTAGAGGCTTTGGAAGAGCATGAAATATCACCACGATCGGTCTTTATCCAGGGTTACGACATCGACCCTTGCGTCATTAAGACTTGCCAGCAATCTACGACATTCCATAACAGTAGGTCTGCCAATTCTTGTAAGGACTCCAACGATTACCGGGTTCTCTGGGAATGTTCAAGTTTTTTTGAAACTACCCGTCAAAAATGTTTGTGCAGTTTCGAGTCGGCTTACGGCAAGAGAGACGAAACAAAACGATTGCTGGTGTGTTGCTTAGGAGGCCCCCCGTACACAAGTGGCCAGGGAAGCGGAAGCAGTATACAACGCGACTTGCCCACGAGATTTGTTAAACATTGCCGAAACGAATGGAAGGCGGATGTTGTCTCATTCTTGCTGCCTGCTCGATACAGAGAAGGAATGAAACACAGCATTACGGATTGCACTTTTACAAAAAGAGCGGCAGCAAACGCTGAGTCAGTCACACACAAAAATACAATCAATCATTCTATCGGAGGTGCTCAACAGATTTGGCGGTGCGAAACCGAAGAACTCAAGGAGTCGACATTTTTCTTTCGTGGGAAAACCAAAGTGAAGCAGCCTTCAATCATCCAAACATTTTACAGCTGTAAAATATAACGTCCGTTGATTATCCATGAACAAGATGCTCCGTTGTCTTCAGACTGCAGAGTACGATACGAAACGAACGATATTCCTAACTTATCATTTTGAGAATAAAATATTACTGGTACTACTGGCAGTATTGGCTACGGTGCACTGGACTACAACTATCTTTAGTGCACAGTAGCCAGTAACCTTGACGAATTCTCACAGCCCTGGACTTGCTGAGGAAACAAAAAGAAATTTGTTTTTAGTGTGGATTTGTGTAAACCCCGGTATATTAATTTCTGCAAATAAATTAGTACCTTTACCAAAATAAATTATTCATTTCTAACTTAAACATTCAGTCATTATTGTGACAACAAGTCATTCCAGTATTTAAGAGAAACAAATTGCTCCCAAGACTCAAAAAATCAGTCATTATGGTGACAATAAGACGTTCCAGTATAAACCAAATTGCTCCCAAGACTAAAAAATCAGTCATATTTGCGATTGGTTGCAGCTGCCGCCTTTGGTGACAGCGGCGGCCAAAAAACTTACTACGGTGCAAAAACTAGGTTATTGCTAGTAGAATGACTTGTTGTCACAATAATGACTGAATGTTTAAGTTAAAAATGAATAATTTATTTTGGTAAAGGTACTAATTTATTTGCAGAAATTAATATACCGGGGTTTGTACAAATCTATACTAAAAAAAGTTTCTATTTGTTTCCTCGGTAAGTCCAGGGTTGTAAGAATTCTTCAAAGTTACTGGCTAGGCACACTAAAGATAGAGATAGTGAAGTGCAGTGCAGCACAGTAGCCAATTGGTCATTCCAAGATGTAAGAGAACCAAATTGCTCCCAATACTCAAATAAATACTTGTAAGTTAAATTTGTGATTGGCTGTTCCAAAATGTAAGAGAATAACCTCCTACTAAATTCTCCCAAGACTCACAAATTCAGATATTTTTGTGATCAGTCAGTCTGGCATAAAAAGAAGCCAACAACAACAATAAGTATGGACAGCTTTGGCTATAGTTATGGCTAGTATGACATGCATGATGCACCAACTGATGCCTTGTTGGACAAGTTGAGTCCTACAAAAAATATTGTCAGTTCCTCTCATCAGAAGTTGGGGAAGAGCATCATGAACCATAGCAATACCAACAACCAACAACCAACAACCAACAATCAACAATCAACAATCAACAA